AAAAAAAAAGAAAAAATGTTCAACATCACTTGTTATTTGAGAGATGTAAATGAAAACAACACTGAGATTCCACCTCACCCCAGAAAGAATGTCTGCCATCATGAAATAAAGAAATAACAAATCCTGGCAGGGCTGTGGGGAAAGAGAAACCCTCCTCCACTGCTGGTGGTAGTGTAGACTGGTGCAACCACTCTGGAAATCGGTGTGGAGATACCTCAAAAACTAGGACTGGAAGTCTCATTTGACCCAGCTATTTCCCTGCTGAGTATCTTTCCCAAAGAATTTAAAATATACTACAGTGACATGTGTGCACTTATGTTCATAGCAGCACAATTTGCAATAACTAAAACTTGGAAGGAGCCCAATTTCCTATCAACTAGAGACTGGATAAAGAAAATGTGGGGTTTTTTTTATAAAATAGAGTACTAGTCAGCCATAAAAAATGAGAAATTAGAGACATCTATAACTAAATGATGCACATTGAGGCAATACTCTTAAGTGAAATAAATGAGACACACATGTGTAAATACCAAATAGTTGCTCTAGTGTGAGAAACTGAAAGTGTAAATAAGGACTAAAAATTGATAATGTGAAACAGGAAGAAAAGGGGCAAAGGGGAAGGGGAAGTGGGAGGGATAGGGGAAAGCAAAGAAGAGAATGGAATTAATATGAGAAAATGAAAAAATGGAAATAAAGTCTTTGTAAATAGGGAGGGATGGAGGGGTTGAAGGGAGGGCAGGGGAAGGGGAAAAAAAATAAGAACCAAGAGAGTTTATGTAAAGGTGCAAATTTCCAAAGATGAATCTCATTATATTGTATACCTAAAATAAACCAATAAAATTAATTTTTAAAAATTGGCCAAAAAAAAGTAAAGGTATTCATCATACAGACAAGTTTTTACAATGTTTTAGGCAAATTGCCTTTGAAAATATCACTAATACAAACCTCCCCACAATATTGGGAGATGCTTCATGCATCTTTGATATGTAAGGAAGCTGAGTTTTAGGAGTGATTGTTAAACCAAAGTAACAAAGCTATCAAGCAGCAAAGTGCTATACCATTCTGTACATACAGCAAATCCTCGAGCTACAACTAGCCTGACATATGAACAACTTGGGTTATACCTGGAATTTTAGTTTTAACTTATGAACAAAGTCTTGAGTTATGATCTGCATGCTTGCCCCTTTAGCTTCCAGATTGTCTCAGACACAGATTTAACCCTTTAAGAGTTCTGGAAGGAGCATTACAACATGCTTTCCTGTGTGGGATTGATTGAGAAATCCTGGGCCAGTGTCTCTGTAATGACACTGAGAGCTGCCTGTATATAGGAGAGAGACATTGAAAGCTGTGTAGAGGAGCATGAGCTTTCAATTTACCAACTTGAGTTACAACCAGCCCTCACAAGTGAATTGAGTTTGTAAGTCAAAGGTCTAGTGTTTCTCCAGCAAATGATCACTTCACTTGTCCTTGTGTAGTTAAGATTCCTGTTTCTGAAGACAGCTGACAATGACACCACATCACACATCATAATCTCTCAGCTTCTCACAGCAAGTAGTTCCCAGTGTCCCTTCAAGAAGTGAAATAGACCCTATTTATTATTTTATTAATCTATGACCACATCCATGAGTTGGGCACACTATTTACTTAACTGATCCATCTTCCTTTAACTTGCTCTAAAGTTCATCTTCCACACAGATTTCCAGAAATCTAGAAATATTGACCCTATCTGCAGTTAAGATGAATCAAGTCTCATCTCAAACAAAATATTCTTCCTTCTGAGTCTACAGTAAAATTGAGACTCATTGTTACCAGCTTTCCAGCCCATATTTCCTTATTCAGGTTACCTAGATGCACCTTCCATTATTCTTTTTGTATATAATCACCAAATATCCAAGTAAACTGTGTGGTTAAATTTATTAAATCCATATTCTTGGTACACAGATTTATTTAACCTTTTCTATGAGGACATCTGACCTCAAACAGTGCCACAGTAGAGACAGCTGCAAAGAGCCACTTCTGTTTTCATATTCTTCTAATTATTAGGAAGAAATGTTCATGTTGTAAACTCTGTTTCTCTTCAAATTGCATTCATTGGCTCTTGTTCACTTCAGTGGAAATAAAGTGGAATAAATCTAATAAGACAGATAAACTTCAAAAGAACTTGATAGACAGTTCAGAGACGAACTCATGCATATGTTGAAATAATATAATGTGATTGAAGATAGCACCACCAGTCAGTGACAAAGGATGGTGTAGGTGGTGCTGGGGAAACTTGATCAACGTACTGAGAAATGAAACTGTAGCCGCACATTTAAGGTTGAAGTCCAGGAGGATTCATGATTTCAATGTGAAGCATTAGACCTTAAAATTAGTAAAAGAAAAGTAGAATATCTTTGCCATACAAATAAGATAGATTTTAAAATTATGAATGACAAACTATACGTTTAATATTTTTCTTCAATTATTTATGCTACACTGTAGACAAAAATGACAGGGCAAGATCAAAAGGATATGTGCTTCCTGTGTGCCGTACCATGCAGCAATTTAGAATTAATAATCTCAATGTGCACAGAGTAGTACAGATGGACCTGCTCACACAGATCATGCTGAGCGACAGTTTCTAAAATACATAAAATAATATTATATATATTTAAAATTGTGTGTGCATAAATTTTC